GTGGTGTGATCATAGCTCACTGTAGCTGTGAACTCCTGGGCTCAAGCAATCATCCTACCTCAGCTTCCTAAGTAGCTGAGACTACAGATATGTGACACAATACCTGGCTAATTTTTTTATTTTTTTTTTAATAGAGATAAAGTCTTACTTTGTTGCCCAGGCCGGTCTTGAACTCCTGGCCTCACTCAATGAAAGTGCTAGCTAGGATTATAGGCATGAGCCACCATGCCCAGCTTCTTTCTCCTTTCTTTCTTCTTCTTTTTTTTTTTTTTTTTTGAGATGTGGTCTCACTTTGTCGCCAGGCTGGAGTGCAGTGGCATGATCTCGGCTCAGTGCAACCTTCGCCTCCTGGGTTCAAGCGATTCTCCTGCCTCAGACTCCCAAGTAGCTGGGACTACAGGTGCCCCCCACCATGCCTGGCTATTTTTTGTATTTTTAGTAGAGACAGGCTTTCACCATGTTGGCCAGGATGGTCTTGATCTCTTGACCTCATGATCCACCCCCCTTGGCCTCCCAAAGTGCTGGATTACAGGCTTGAGCCACCGCGCCCAGCCTCTTTCTCCTTTATTACCAAATTCCACTGACCACCTGCCCCTTCAGGACATCACTCACATTTCCTTTCTACTGGGCTCCTTGTCCTGCATGTTCTCTTCTACGACTGTTCCATGAAGCTTCTGACATGTCTCTTCCAAACACATATCTCGTAATTTTTGGAGTTGTATGGCTGTCTCCTCCATCCAACCCAGAGAGTTTAACTCAGGGGTTGGCAAACCTTTTTGGCAGAGGGCCAAATAATGAATATTTTTTGGCTTTGTGGGCCCTATGATCTCTGTTGCAACTAATCTGCTCAAAAGCAGCCATAGGCAAGATGTAAGCCAGTAGGTATGGCCATGTTCCCATAAAGCTCTTATAAAAACAAGTGGCCAGATTTGGCCTGGAAAGTATATAGTTTACCAGACTCTTGCCCTGCTTGGACAAGGACAGAGTCTTCTTGCTATTATCATATAATCAATTATAAATATTCAGTAGAGAATAAATCCCTCAAAACTGAATTGAGGTTTACTTCTTCCATAACCTTTCCTTGACACTCACGGACACAGTAGTGTTTCAACTTCTGAACATCCACAAGTACTTAGTGTCCAGATCTACCATCATTGTGTGATATTCACTTAATGCTGCTATGATGAATTAGGGCTGATCTATATCATTTCCAGGGTCTTTTGCCCTAAAATCCAATGGGTCAGTTGATTATCTTGTACTGCCACCGACTTGTATATTTTTGGTTTTTCTCTCCTTCAAATAAATTACAAGCTTCTAGAAAATAAACCATATCCAATTTTTCTTGGGATCGCTACAACGCCTTATATTGTGCTTCTGTCATAGTATTCATCCATTTATTCATTTAACACGTATCTGTGGGACAATACATGGCACAAAATAAGCAACAGGGAAATGGCTGCTGCTCCAATTGAAGTCAAAGCCTAGTGAACTAATGATTGTATGATCACAAATTGAGATAAAATCTCTGAAAGAAAGTACATAAGGAAGTACACAAGGAAGGCAAACATATACTGGGGCAGGTAGAGGAAAGAGGGGCAAGGAAAGTCTTCCCTGAGGAAGTAATGCTTGATTCAAGATCCATTTATTCAACCAATTCACTACACATTATTTGCCAGGCATTATTCTAAGCACTTGGAATACAGCCGCTATCTAAGCAGACGGAAGTTCCTGCCTTCACGGAGCTTGTTTTCTAATGGGAGCTGAAGAGTAAGTAAAAATTAGATTGAAAGGAAAAAGGGGTTGAGTAACATTCCCAAAAGAAGGAACCACATGTACAAGGATCCTGGGTGGGAGGGGGCATGGCACGGCCCTTGCAGTGGCCCGTCCCACTGCGGATGGTGGCTCGTAGAGGTGTGGCCTCATAGGTAAGGTAACCATATAATTTATTCTCTAAAGCAGAACACTCCTGACAGTAAATGAGGCATTAAGAATCATTGCAGCAAGCAAAAACTGGTATAGTTCCAGCAAACTGGATATATGAGCCTGGGCAATGTAGCGAGACCTCATCTCAATTAACAACAAAAATAAACACATAAATAAATAAATCAGCGCATGCTTGTAGTCCCAGCTACTTGGGAGGCTATGGTGGGAGGATCACTTGAGCCCAGGAGTTTGAGGCTGCAGTAATCAGTGACTGTGCCACTGCACTGTAGCCTGTGTGGCAGAGCAAGACCCTGTCTCAAAAACAAACAAAACAAAACTGGACGTATGGGTATCCTACTTATAAGCCACAAAAATATTTTAACATGACCGCCTTGACATTTTTTTAAAAACAATCCTTCTCATTGCTGTGGAAAACTGATCTGGAGAGGAAGTATGTCAATGTGAAGAGGCCAGCTGGTATGCTACTGCAGACATCCAAGTAATAGGGTAGTGTGGCCCGAGGTAGGGGATGAGGAGCAGAGAAAATGGAGAGAGAAATAAATTTTAGAGGTATTTCAGAAGCAATTTTAACTGGACTTGGGTGATATTAATTATTAGTTGTGGAAATGAATGGAAGAAAGGATGCGGTGAAGTAGAATGGGAAGGTCATGGTGGATAGAGTTTATAAAAGAGATTGAGGTGCCAAGACCTACTCTTGACACCAACAACTAAGCCAGGGAGTATTTTGAGAGCTGATCTTGATGAATCCGAAGATTGTGGCAAACACTACAATGTCCATTAGTGATGATAAGTAAGAGTGTAACTAAGGCTTTGACACTGGAAAGGGGTTGGTAGAGCAAAGTACCCCCCACTGGGCAATAATTTGTGCTTTTGTCAAAATTGCTGGCGGACTTCATGTACTTTTAGGGAAACAGAGGTTTTCATGGTGCAAGACAAAGGACGAAGAGCAAGGAGGTGGAGGGTAGCTTGATATTGAAAATTCAGTATTAGGTGTTAGAATACCAGAGTCAAGAGTAAAGAATTATAGGAAGTGACAACCAGACCAGCAAACAAGAGAGCAAGAGCTGCGGTTTGTGGTCATTGATGTTTCAGAGAGACGTTCAGCTGAAATACGCAACCCGGACTATATCTGGAAGCTGAGTGTAATACATAATTCAGAAACCAACTTAACTCACTGCAGTTTTAAATGAGATGTTGAAATTGTTGTCCAGCAGTAGTGAAGAGTTGACTCCTCATCGGTCTTCTCTGGCCAGCACGTGCTGCCCAGGTCGGGGAGTTTCGTCTCGTTCTGAGAGCTTTCAGTCAATCTGATTGCATTTGACCAGGGAGGCCTCAGTAACGATGTCAATTCACCCTTTACCCTCAGGCTGAGTCAGCGCGGAAAGCGAAAGAAACTAAGTGACCAAGGCTCTCTACTACACGTCAAGAATCCTTTGCCCCTTCCTCCCACAGTGATGCAGCTGCACTGTTAGCCAATTACTGTAACCCCTTTGTCTAGGAGTACCCATTTACGGAAGTATTATATGTGAAATAACCCACTCATCTTAACCATGCAGAGACACTGAAGAAGGAAAAGGAGCTTGAATAGTGAGTTCTGCATGTGCATCTGTTCCTGCAATACGCTGTTCACCAGTCACCTCTGCCTAACCCACGTATCAACACTCTCTGCAAATAAGGATGTGGCAATAGTTCCACCTGAGGCCAGATGTGAAATTCAGGTTGGGACTTGGAGCTGTAAAATGTTGTACCTTGACTTCTTTCTAAATAAAAATATTCCATTACACAGCCATTAAAAATATGTTATAGAACTATATATCAAGACATTGGAAAATGTTCATAATAAATTATTAAATCAGATATTAGATTATAAAAGAATGTTCTCAGTATAATTAAATTTCTATTTTTATTGGGAGGCCAAGGCAGAAGAGGAGAATTGCTTGAACCTGGGAGGCGGAGGTTTCAGTGAGCCGAGATGGCACCACTGCACTCCAGCCTGGGCAACAGAGTGAGACCCTATCTTATAAATAAATAAATAGAATAAAATTTCTATTTTTAAAACAGGCATAGAAAGGACTTGAATGTAAAGTGAAATCTTAAAAGTCGTGATCTCTAGGTTGTGAAACTAGTAATAATTTTTTATTTTCTATGTTTAGATTATCAATATTGTCTAAATTTTTCAATAACAGATACTACTGTGTCATAAAAATATATGTACTTTTAAATGTACTCTCCAACATTCATAACATGCATGGAAGCCTCATTATATTATCATCCAACCAATGAAACAGGGATATAACCTGAACGCTCTCATGTAATGACAGAACATTCGATTCAAAGTTGGGCAGGCCAGACATGGTGGCTCACACCTGTAATCCTAGCACTGTGGGAGGTGGAGGCAGGAGGATCACTTGAACCCAGGAGTTCAAGACAAGTCTAGGGAACATAGGGAGACCCTGTCTTTATAAAAAGTAAAAAAAATCAGCTGGACATAGTAGAATGTGCCTGTGGTCTCAGCTACTCAGGAGGCTGAAGCAGGAGGATTGCTTTAGCCCAGGATGTCAAGGCTGCAGTGAGCCGTGATGACACCACTGCACTCCAGCCTGAGTGACAGAGCAACACCCTATTTCAAAAAAAAAAAAAGAAAACTAAGTTGGGCTGCCTTGCTTTGCCAGTTTTGGTAACCTAGGAGACTTCACTGTGCCTCAGCTGTCCCATTTGTAAAACAAGAATCATACTGGTTGCTAATTCTAAGGTTGTAAGAACACATGAAAAAAAATGCTTACCAATTGCTTAACATACAGTAAGCTCCCAATAAATATTAGTTAATCTTATGATTACTTAAGTAATACTTTTCTTGAATAGGTGCCAAGAAGCTTCTAGAGTGGAGTGTGATATTTTGTGGGCACCAAGTGCTTTAACTGTAAAGAAGGCCACCTCTAGTGAAGGCCAATGCCAAATACATTGCAGAAGCAGTGGTTTTATGGGAAACTGTTAGAGAAAACCATTAGCCAGAGGGGCTGACACTTCCTGCCCCTTGCATGCAGTTATCCCACAGCATACCTGATACTTCTCAGTGACTTAGCTCCCCATAGATTCTTAATACATCCAACGCAGAAACTCTAGCAATGAACCTAGAAAAACAATGTTATCATTGCAGTGTCTTTTAGGTTACTCTGGGCAAGAACTGAGGCTTTCATATATGGAGCGACTAGACAACTTCAAGGATGGTAATTGGCGATAACAAAACCCTATTGACTGAGCCCTTTTATTGGAACTAAAGAGAGTTTGGGGTAGATATATATTTGTGGGGACATAATTTTACTTGTTTAGGGTCGTTTAAATGTGTATAAAAGTAGAGGGAAGATTGTAATTGTCTTAGTTCATTCAGGCAGCTACAACAAAATACTACAAACTGGGTAACTTATAAACAGCAGAAATTCATCTCTTATAGTTATGGAGGTTGAGAAGTCCCAGATCAAGGTGCCAGTAGATTCAGCTTCTGGTGAGGGCCTGCTTTCTTGTTCGTAGGTGGCACCTTCTCTTCATGTCCTCACATATCAGAAAGGGCAAGGCAGCTCTATAGGATCTCTTTTATAAGGGTACCAGTTCCATTCATGACTCCATCCTCATGACCTAATCAGCCCCGCCAAAGGCCCCACCTCCTCATACCATCATCTTGGGAGTCAGAATTCCAACATATGAATTATCAGGGACACAAACATTCAGACCATAGCAATAATGAACATCCATGTACTCACCACCCAACGTTCACAATTATCAACACACATACAATACTGAAAAACACATATATTAATTGACAAATTTCAAAGCCTAATTATATGATTGTCCCTTTAGTTATCTGAACTGAGAAAGCATAGGAGATGTGTCTGAGCTTAGCCCACTTAGCCAAGTCTTGCTTTTGACCTCAGCTGAAGCAGAACAGCTGCTACCTTCCTATTGTAATACAGAGCTGCTAAATGCTGACGTTGATAACTACCAAATACAAAACAATTAGACGGGAACATGATGCCATGTGTGTTTTCAATACCAAAGGCAACTAGGAGCCTAGTTTGTCAAGAAATGCTAACGAGTAGATGCGTCTATGAATATGTAGTATGCAATCCACTTCATTCTGCCTACTCTGAACTGCCTTTATTAAGGGGTATTTTATGTGGATTCTGTGCGACAGAGAAAAACGTGCTGCCCCTTGACAACATAATATGCTAGACTGGTTCCCTTTTTTTGAGATGTCAAATATCTACTTTATTATAGTGAGAAAGTGACAGTCAATTTAAATCAAAATTTATGGAGAACATTAGTAGCTGGAAGGACTTTGGCTAATCACTGTAATGTCCCCAACAAATGCTAAATGAAAGCATAAGGAAATTGAGTTAACACAAGTTAAAAGTTCACATACTTAAGGAATTATATTAGAAGACCTACAACTTAATTAAATTATCTGAAACTGCTCATTTAGCTTCTATTGTCCTAGTGAACATTTATGCAATTTTACTGTTAGATATATATTAAGTAATAGCTTTGGATTGGGTCAAATTGGGAGAACCCTAATGAGGCAGAACAGGGGAAAGTTTAATCCATCATAAAGCATCATTCTGAATTTTTATATTGAACATTATTAGGCAGAGATTTCCCTGGTTAGTTGGTTACTCTTATATCTATCATTCTGACATTTTGAATAATTGAAAAATCAAACAGGAACTTTGTACATGGAAAAAATAATCTGATGGAAAAGAAATGTGTTATTGATCACATAATTTTTTTTTCAGTCTTGTATTTGCTTTTTCAACTGTAGAAGTTCAAGAAGTGGTAAATGTGCCACAATTTAGACATTAAAGGCATTGTTAACAAATTTGACACAAAAGATAATGTTATGAGATGTGAAAGACAGAAATTTACATGTAAAATCACATACTTAATATTTATTTCTTTATTTTGAATGCACTTAAGGTCAGCAAGTTCTTAAACCCGAGGTCTTAAGCTGTAGAATTGTTTCCTTCAAAATGCTTTTTAATACACAAGGCGGGGTGTTCAGTAACTGCATATACCTGGCACTCGTCTCTTTATGGCTACTAACTCAACGTTTTTTGAGAAGAGTAAGTCTCCATAACTAGGTTTGCCACAAATTATACGTGTATGGACTCTTCCTGCAGAGATTTGTAGTAAATCCAGAACGGAGCTGTGCTCTCTTACAGAGAACCCCAAAGCAGCTGTGAAGCTTTTGCTGCAGTTGAAAAAATGTGACCTTTAATTCAAGCCTTAGAAAACAATTTAGATGTCAAAGTGTGACTTTTTTAAAGCCATAAAACCTTTGGAAAAATCCTGCCATTTTTTTTCATTTCTGATGGAAATATATTGAAAAAAATAAACTATTTGCCATGATACTTGGTAACATACATGCACACACTAAGAAATGAGTAAGAAAAAATATGACCTCCCACAGACTGGTTTCTAACTGCTTGCTGGGGGGAAAAAATAAGCTGCCTCCTCTCCACTGCATTTAGAGAATTAATTCTCATATGAAATGAAAGGTCCCGTCCAATCCTATTTCACGGTAGCTTTGAGTGCTTGACTGTACCAAAGCAAAGGGCATTACTTGATTGTTCACTGTTGACATCACTTTATACCAGAAGGTGGCAATTATTTTAATAATCACACTAACGAATCTGTTTTGCCTTCAGATTAGATTTTTACAGATAATGTTCATTTGATTTTTGTCAAGAAGATGCCTTTTAAAACCAGTAGCATTCACTTACAGATTTATTTCTCAAGTTGGTTTTTCTCTCCTACTAACTGGCTAAAATATTGCATCTCTTTTAGAATATAAACTGCACAATTTGTATGTTTCTCTTTACTAAACCTTATTTGTTGGCCTAAAACAATTAAAAGGGCTATTTAAGGTGATAATGCAGATAAGTCGTTATCATGATAGAGCTACTACCAGCTATCATTTAAAAATGAAGACTGCACTTAATTTTGTATTTACAAGGAAAACTGGTGAAGAATTTCTTCAGTTGACCATGACATCTTAGAAACGTAGGGATTAATAAGATTTATGTCGATACACAATGAAAAATCTTTCACGTATAAATCACAAGGCATTTATGTCTAACTTACCTCACAAGGTAGCAAGATCCCATAAACTCCTCAATTAAAACTGAGTGGAAGATAATAGCCTTCTTGAAGCTCAGGAGTTCACAAAAAGCCTATCACCCTTCTGAACCGTATAACAAAATGCACAGAAACATCCCAAATACCAACACACTGGAGCTGCTTGAGAATGTATCTCCTAAGACAATTTTCCAAAATCTGTCATCTGAACACTGTTTGCCATCCATAAAGAAAGAGGAAGAGGAAGGGGAGGTAGAGAATAATGTTGGCTCTGTGAAACCGCAGCATTCTTTCCAGATGGTCTCTTTTTCCACAGCTTAGGTTACCTACATGACAAAAGGATAAGAGGCCAGGGGTGAGCACTCTTTTTTTGTAAAACTGAGAACTCCAGACATTTGTCATCCAGAAAAAATGCCTGCCTCTCAGCAGGATAGATTTTTTAAAAATTTTCTCAGTGCCTTTCTCTAATTGGGCTTCCTCAACTTTTCACACATCCTTTCCTTGAACAAGTCCACAAAAGCCAAAGTTCTCCCACACCTAGTCACCAATGGCAGGCCATAAATCACAAGAAATTGCACAGGATTTTTTTTTAACATGATGCAATTAACGCCTATAATGTGGGAAAACATTTTATAATATATAACATATTAAAGCAATAGGAAATAGCATGTCAGATTTCTCATTAGCAAATTCTAATAATGGCTAGCATAAAAATGTGCCTATCTATTAATATTTTTTCTTCAATTCACATTTAAAAGAAAAATATTACAGTGTCTTAGTATCTGTGCAATACTCGTGTAGAAATTTATTATACCAAAGTGATCTGGCATGCCGAAACTAGCATAAGCAATATGAAAATTTAAAGATAGCTGAATGCCCATTCTTTAATTTTACTAAAATAATGAAAAACATATATTATTTGAGCTTACAAAACATGTAAATACGAATTCAAATGGAGCATATATTTTGCACGTATATATTGCATTTTTCTACTCAGTATTAAAAACCATTTCTCTTTTTATGCTTTGCTTTCTTTTGTCCTCTAAAAGAAGAGAGAAACATGAATCTTGAAAATCATCTACCAGCTCTTTCTAAACTCTCATATTTAGGAAACTTTCCTTTTAACTTTGAGGAATTATCGTAAATTGCAATTTAAATAATAGCTTATAAATTCTGACAGCACAAGAAGCCTGTAAATAGTTGCTCTTCCCTTGAAAAGCGCTGGCACTAAAAGTTAGGGCATTTGACGGATTTTGTTGATTTGGGGGGAACTATTTTGATGTAAATATTAAATTATTAAAATAGGAGTTTCAGCAAGAATTGGTAAGTGGGCATAATGTCTTTTACCTCCCAGCTACCAGTCTGACCCTGGCTCAGGTCTCCAGAAGAAGCCACTTGCTAGTCACAGTCTGTCTTTTACCCAGACACAGGCTCCCACACACTGCATAAATTAACAAGCCACCCTCAAAACCTCTACACACTGCAGGAATACAACTAAGACACCATTACCCAAGTACTAACATCTGCCAATTCTAAAAAGCTCTTCATATTAAAAAGGAAAAAAAGGAAAGGAAACAGTTTCCACCTTCTGGGTCTCCTGTTGCCACGTGTGTGTATCTGCCCTCCTGTGCAGACCCTTTAACGTTAGATGAGAAAATGGGAGAGGAAGCTATGTTAGAGGAAGAGAAATGGAGAGAGAGCTGAAATATATTTGTTTTTCTTTAAAATTCATTTTATGGGCTTTTTGTAGGAAGGGCTTTTTTTTTCTTGATTTTTTGCTTTATTTCTGGCATCAACTATATTTTAGTTTGCTTTTGAGTAAGAAAGATTGAAGGGCAGGTGAAAGGCCAGATGAAGTGGGAGGCTGCGGTGGAATTAGGTTCTAGTTGCAAAAACCTGATTAGTCTTTTGTTTTCTTTTTGGTTTGAGCATACTTAGAAACAAAATGGGTCTCTAAATCACAGATTGTGACTCTGGAGAATGTACAAGACATCTTTTGAAT